GCATAAATGCTAGATGGTCGCCAGGTGACCAAACTCTGATCATATGACCATGGGGGAGGGTATATACAGCAGTCATAAGTGCTATATAGGTCGTAAGTTTTTTCCAAGGTTGTCATAACTTTAAACCATTGTTAAATGAATGGTTGTCAAGGACTACCTGTATACATATTCATAAAAGTAACTTGTTTATTACATCATATTCCATAATCTGAAAAACAGGAAATGGGTAAATCTTACTGTGCACTATTACTTAAAAGAATTTTAAAGACAATATACATTAGGACTACATGCAGCTTTGGATTCAAATGGAGAAATGTGTGTCGGAGTATGCAGTGTGTATGTTTAATATTTTTTTTGACAGCTGCTTAAACCAAATGATTTTTCCCAGGGTTGAACTGCAGTTGTGGAGGACAGCTGTGAGAGCCCATCAAAAGAGATAGCTGCTTTAAAGAGTTGCTAATGGGGGTTACATGACTGCCCTTGCATGCTTTGAAGCATCTTTCCCTCTTTAAATAGCAACTATTGCACAGTCCTAATATCCATGTTTATGCTACAGTGGGGCCACTTGTTCCTTGGGGAAAATAAATATAGATAGGAATGCACTTTACTTTGGAAGTGTATGTCCACTTATTCAGAAGTAGGCCGCACTATTCAGTGGGTTTCTGCCCTCTCTCAGTTAAATCCACTTTCTATTTCTAGAATTAATCCTAGATGAAAGCGAGTATGTGACATCAGGTAGCAACATATCCCTATTCATTCTATGTGTCCACTATTTGTGGGTAAAAAATTGTCTATTTTGTGCACTTCCTGAAGGCAACTGGTTATCATCTGTTGGACTAAAAGTAATAAAATAAGTCTGCTGACAGAATTGCTTCTGTCCGTGAAAGAGGAGAAGGAGATGAAGCATCCCTCCTCCTATGTATCTTGAGAATTGTTCCTGGAGCCTGTAACACAGAAAAGGCAGGAGGTTGAGAGCCTTTGATCTAGCCAGTTCCCACAACACTGGATTTCTCTAACAATCTTTTCTGTCAGGATAGTTTGTCAAATTATTTAATAATAATGATTTTTAATAATTTTTTTTACCTTGGAAGGCTTAAAGTTAATAACACTACATTGTTAAAAAAATCAAGTTAAAATATATGACCTGTCAAAATATTTAGGCATGGCTTTTAAAGAACCTTCAGACATACATATTTTTCTCATAAATTAAGACTGTAGTCCTTCCTGGAGAAAGAATTTCATAACATAGATTAGCTACCAAGCAATCTATCTGCCTGTATGGATATCCAACTCCCAAGTAAGTCAGTGTCATTATAAAAACATTGAGTGATATTAGGGTGTATTTGCACCATCCTACTGCCTCAAATGTATCCTAGAGCAGTTGAAGGTATTTTCAGTGGGGTTTTTTTGTTCAAGGAAGAGAACACAAGATCCTTAAACATGTATTTAAATAATCTTTTGTTATAATAAAATCAGTCTCTTTCCACAAAATACAACACCAACATTAAGTAACTGTGCCTATACTGGAATAGCAATGAGGCTTTAAATAAAAAGGCCAGTTTGGCATTTCTTTATGAAACAAACGCTGCTACTTATGTCTCCATCTCAGCCTTAGCAAAATTAGCTAATTGCTTGTGCGATCAAAATCCCACGAGGAGGAGGACAGCTGATGATTTTCCCCAGCTAGATTAATCTCCATGAGACGTGGCTCAAACGGGCTCTTGTGTTAAAAAGATATAAGTGAATGCAGTAACAGCTATTAAAATGGCACAAGCAAACCAACTCCAGCAAAATTCATCTCCATTCACTTCTACCGTTAATTAACTCTAGACTATAGTAGAAATAATTGACAATATTATTTTATAAAAGTATAATTAGCATTTTGTTTGGCAGTAAGGCATTTTAATAGAAAATACCAGAACCAATAAATGATGACGACTCAGAAAAATATTGTGTTACTGCATTCAAGATACCACTTCCTTAGTTCTAAAGGCATTGAATCGTTTAACTTTTGTTTAACTTAGTAAACTCTTTGGTGATGATAGAGAAATGGTGTCTAGCACTGATATTACCTAGTTTGGCAATGAGATGTCTACAAGAAAACAATCAAGCTCAGAGAGCACCAAGGATTCTAACAATAATCATATAAACGCTACTTACCAATCATTCCACTGGTCGCTGGCTGCTTCTTCAGCAACTAGAACATCATACTCCTCAGCAGCATATTTTTCCCAATTAGACATGTCTTGATTTTCATTTTCAGTCCCCTAAAATATTATCATAAGGCATTTAATACTAAATTGATAAAACACTGAGATTGACTTTATAGACAAAATTTCTTTCAGTACCAATTGCCCTTACCCTCAGCACAGAAAACTGATCCTTCTGCTCATGGTCTAAATATTTGTCAATATTGAAGAAAGTGTCAAAGAAAATGTTTGCCATCTTACATCTCTTTAAATCATGAAGAGTTATTTTTCCTGGAAACAGAAAAAAAAAGTCTGAAATGCTTGAATTTTAGATTGTGGTGCATATCTCATGTAAAATTTAACATTTCAAAGCTTGGTTTTTATTAATACTTGAGTAGGTACAATTAGTGACAGATTAGGATTGCCTAAAATTGTAAGTCCCTCAGTTAGGATGACCGTAAAGGTTTGGCTTAAGAATGATTTTCATCAGCTGTTAATCAAAACAATAATTTTACAACATCTTACCAAGAGCAGTCATATTCATTCTCAAGGTAAAAGTAAAAGTTCTTTATTTTATGTTTTATTGATTTTTAAAAATTACAATCTTTAGTGATTAGTAAACAACATGTCTGGGTTCACAAATTTAACATTAACTTCTTCAATATAAATCTGTTCAGTAGTGCACAATCCAGTATTTTTTCCCTGATCATCCTTTCTTCCCCATATTTTTTCCATTTTCCTCTCATTACAGTTACTATTCTTCTTACTATTGATGTATACAAAGTTGGATATAAACATCCTCATTATATTTTACTAGTATTGTACTAATGCTATTTACAAATACCAATAATATAAATTCATAAATCAATATCCTGTTTTTCATGTTCTTAAGGTTTGATTTCCCATCAATATTTGAAATATCTTTGTCAGTTATGATTTCCTCAATATTAATTACATTTATGTTGCTAAAAGTTTTATTCATACCAGCCATCCTCTTATTTTCATATTTCCCATATCAAAAAAAGAATACTATTTTAATTCTAAATCATATCTTTCATTATAAAAGTCTAATTATATCTAAGGGTCATCTGTTCTTTTAATCATATTCAAACAAATATTTAAATGTAATGCCCCCTCTAATAGGTCAAATTTTCTGTTTCTTTCTTCTTGCTTTCTTTCTTTAACAAGTAGCTTTCCAAGCCAAGGCAGTTAAATCGCCCAGGAATTTTTTTTCTATTTTTATAAAAGTTGCTTGGCATGAGGAAGACAATTTAGGTAGGTTATTTTGGGGGAGGAATTCCGCCCATTTATATTTCTTAAGCAATTCCCACGTTCCTTCTCCCTCAATTTCTCTTTTCATTTTTTTGTCTCCCAAGTTGTGACATTTCACCTGACAGCTCTATACTCCATTTTTTAAAATATTCTTCCTTATCATCAGGTATGTTTTGCAGACCTAAGGAGTAAAGCATCTTTTCCATTTTCGTTGTTATGGTCAAGTCTTGCAGTATTTTATATGTATATGGTAATGTAAGGACCCACTTTAACTAACTACCCAAGAAAGCAGAACTCATGAAAGAGGCATTGTCTCAAAACCCCTACTTTTATTAGGGGTCAGTGACAATAGGGAAGTCAAGGCAAGATCTGGGGAAAAGCCTGCCGAAACGGTATAGTTAAGCTAGCAATATTCCTCTTCCCACCAAAGTCATAATGTCCATTTGAAATCCAGCCAATCCACAGATGGTCTGAAGAGTGGGTAACTGGCTGTTGGCACGCATCACAAGGTCTTCTCCAGCTTTCGTTTCTCTGTAACCATCTCCCTCATAAGGGAGACACATTCCTTTCTCAAAGGGATGGAGGCAGCAAGAGAGAGTAGAAAGCAAAAGTTATCCCAAGCTAAATGCAAAGCTCCCCCTCTCCCAACAGCATGGCAGATCCCAAAAGTAAGATATATATATATGCAATGTAAAAATAAGGGTTTGAGGACCTGACAGATAGTTTATATTTCCTTTATTTTATCTCTTCCATCTCTAGGTCCATTTCCTCTGCTTCATCTTCTGATTTCTGGTTTATTTGTTCATACTTTGTAGTCATTGTCTGGGAATTTTCTAGTTGTAGATTTAGTTTGGAGATTTGCTCATTTATATTATCTAAATTATTTTTAGTCTCATTATAGTTTCTTTTTGTCTCCTCTTTGTGTGCGACAATTGTTTGGTGAATTAGTTGTAGCATAGAGTATATTTCCTTTTGAAAGGTGTTTATTTTTTCTTGAGGCATCATTCCTGGAGATCCTCTAGTATCACCAATCTTAATAAGAGTAGAACGGCTTCCAGTTTGCCATTGTGGTGCCTGCAGACGCATAGAGGCGAGCTCCATCTTCAGCGTCCAATTTCAACCCATTGGGGGACCCTGGAAAGGGTTGAAAGTCACCCTGTAGGGGCGACGAACAAGGAGGGGATCCCTGCTTGATCGCAGGAGGGCGGCAGCCCTTCCACTTGATCCGGGGCAGCTCTCCAAACTGGTGAAGGAAAGACCAGCCATAGCAATATGGCTCTTCACTAAGCTGCTCACAGCCGAAGTCAAAATTACTACCAAGCACCTTTAAAACAACGCGGATGAAACTGGGTGAGATCTGATCTTCTCTTTAAGACTTTATTTTTCCTGCAAAAGCTGCCCAAAGTATTTTTCCCCCGGTGAGGAGAGAGGAAGGGAATTCCTACCCCACCCTCTAAGAACAGCAGCCACTGACTACCCAGGGGAAATAGAGCAATTATAAGAACAACTGTAATCTAATTGGATGCATATACTTTTGAAATTTGGGGACTAAAAGTTTTCCTATTCTTATTGGAGACGTTGGTTTTTATCTAAAAAGAAAAGAAATAAAACTTGAAAAACTATTATAAAAATTCAGGATTTAAAAATTTTAAATGGTATTGGTGATATCTTGTGGCGAAGTATGGTATTACAACTTGTTGTTGACTAAAAGAGACTTGGCTTGAAGCCCAGAATCTAAAAAAAAAACTTTCCTGACCTCGACAGATACCAGCTGTGAAAAACCCATCTGTAAAGAAGGAACTGCAGGGCGGCATATCTGGCCTGTTTGAATTATGAAGGTAAACCTTTACTGACTTTCAGAGTTATATGTGGGAAATTGTTTTCCTATTTCTTTACATGAGAAGTATCTGTTATTACACAATGGAATACTTTGGGCTATAAATTCTTACTTGGTAAACAATTTCCACTATAAAGACTATCTACAGTATGTGAAATAGATGTCCCATACCTAGCAATAAAAAAAAAACCCTATTTTTAATGTTTGATTTTAAAAACTTCAACTTAATACATTAGCAAGAGAATATGGATGAAGATCAGGAAAAAATCCTTTTTATGTTGAAATCAATACACAACACCATTCTTTCAGCGTGTAACAAAATAAGAGGCAACATAAAGGAACAAGATGCCAACTTAGATATACAAATCCAGATCTTGACTACAACCAAAGAACTAACAGGGCAGAAAGTAACAGGAGAAGTGGAACAACTAAATACTAAGACAAGAGGACCCAACTGACCAACAGATCCACCCAACGGGAAAATTAGAAAAGAGAGTGACAACATTGAAAATGGAAAAGACTTTTTACATAAATCAGAAGAAATTTGATGAAAAGGAAGAACAGATTGAATGGAAGATAAACATCTTAGGACAATTGTGGGAAATTGAAGTAATAGGGAGGCGATTAAATGAATACAATTGGACTAGTTCTTCCAAAAAAACTGTAATTAAATTATATTTCTTATTTCAAATAATATATATAATACTAGAGGGAGAACTGTTTGAGGATTTAAAAGTACAGACATGGAAGGTTAGTTGGCAAAGAAAAAAAGCCAGAGTAAGGTTGAAAGAAACTAGGGTTTTGATTTATTAGAGGGGATTTTATATTACTGATTAGAGGGTTGAATATGGTGGAAAATAGATAATTTTTAGAAAATAAAATGACATTATAATTGAATAGATATGTGTAATAAGATTAATAGACTTTTGGTTTAATATGGTGAAAAATAGATAACTTTTAGAAAATAGAATAAGATTATATGAAAATAGATAAGATGTGTATTTAGAATATTAGATTTTGTTATAAAAAGGGAAAAATGTAGAAGTTGAGATGAGGGAAACTCTGGTCACCTATAGCTTGGAAATTATAATACCAAATTTTAAGTTGAATATTGAGGGGAAATTAAAGCCTGGGAAAAAAAGCAATAACAGGATATTGATTGTATATAAGGATTGAATGCAAACATAATTAAGATATGTATAAGCTAAAAATTATTGATAAATGTAACAAAGATGGTTTTACTTAGTTGATAACAATAAGAACTATATTAGCTCAATATGAGATAGTAGATATTAAGGGAAAAAGAGAGGAAATATCTGATATTATAACTTGAGATTTGTGCTAAAGATTTGGGTATGTTATTGAATTATTTATTACCCAGTCACGACCTTGCTTTTTAAATGTTTAATTGTAAAATTAGAAAACTAATAAAATATTATATAAAAAAATAAGAGTAGAACAGGGGTGTCAAACTCAATTTCATTGAGGGCCGCATCAGCATTGCGGTTGCCCTCTGGGGGCCGGGTGGGTGTGGCCAGGGTGAGTGCGGCCTACTGAGTGGGCATGGAGTGGGTGTGGCCTACTGGGTGAGCGTGGCCAGCTCTACATCGTTCATGTCAAGGGTGCCTTTGAGGGCCTGGGCAGGAGGGTCTCTGGCAGAAGGGGGTGGGACCAGGGCAAGTGCCAAGGCATGGTCACTGGAGGAGCCTCACCATTCCTCTCAGGCCATGGGGGGGGGCTGGGTGTGGTGTGGGCTGCCCGGAGCCCTGGGCAGCAGAGGTCAAACACCAAGCCCAGTCCCACTTCCCCAAGGGGGTGCCCAGCTGCACTTACCTCCTCCTCAAGGCTGCTGCAGCTGTGCTTGCTCTCCTTAACCAGGTTGCTCATGATGGGTACGAGGCCAAAGTCAGAGGGAGGCCCATTCCCTCTCCATGGGAGGAGACCCGGCTTTGTATCCAAAGCTTCCTTAGTAATAGGATGGGAGACCCCCAGGATAGACCAGGAGGATGGGGCAAGGGGATGGTGAAAGGGCAGCAGGGCTGGACTAAGGCAGGATTTCTCTCAGACCCTCCCTCTCCTTTCCTTCCTTCCTTCCTAAGTACAGAGTGGTGGGAAAATATTTGAGATGAGGGAGGGAGAAAAACAGGCAAGAAACGCAGTGGAGGAGGTGTCACCCTTCGTGGGGAATGAAGAAATGCACCATTGCCTGGAAGTGGCCAGCACATGGCCCTCACCTACTTCACATATCTGGCTTGGTGGGCTCTGGGGGAAGGGATGCCATGAGCAGTGTGAGAGTCAATGCTACCTAAGCAATGCCGCCCAGCCCCCAGCCTGCCCAGTTTTGGCAGGCAGCGGGGCGCTTTCCTCACAGTGCCAAGAGGTTGAGCTGGGCGGTGCGAAGCTCGCCAGCTTTGTACCTTGCTGCCACCTGAAACTGGACAGGCTGGGGGCTAGGCAGCATTGCACTTCTCATCAGTTTCGCGCCACCCGGCTCAGCTCTTGGCACTGTGAGGAGAGCGCCCCACTGCCTGCCGAAACCTCTCCCCCAGAGCCCATCAAGATATGTGAAGTAGGTGAGGGCCATTTGCTGGCTACTTTCAGGCGATGGTGCATTTCTTCATTCCTCACAAAGTGTGACACCTCCCCAGCATGCACCCAGGGGTGGGGCCGACGCAGCAGAGGCTGGTCCCTCGCTGTTTCCAGATGACCTTGTGGAGCTAAGACTGAATGTGTTTCAGCATAGATGGCCACCACAAAATTGTACATTGGCTCCCGGCCAGCCTGGGTCAGGGCCAAGGCAGCAGGGGCCATTCCCTCACTGTTTCCAGGATGGCTTCGGGGGCCGCATCCGGCCCCCGGGCCTTGTGTTTGACATGTCTGGAGTAGAACAATGTTTCATCTAGTTTTCTGGTCTTTATGTGTAGCCTTTATAATCCAATAGATTACGGAATATGGGTCCAGTCTTAAAAGCAATTTTTTGTAGTAATCCTTTGTCTTAGGTATCCAAGAATTGTCAGTTAGGGAAAGTTGTAATCCACAATGTTCAAAGTGTTCAAAATGTCCAACCTCCCTGAAAACAGCTCAAAAGTCTCAGCCAGACTACTCAAAAGTCAAATTTTTCTTTCCCAGTAGTTCTTGAGATTAAAAGTCCAAGCTCAGTGGTGTTTATAGTCCAAGAAGGTCAGGGTGATAAATATGCCAAAATATTTTCCTTTATTGCCAGCTGTTCTCCATTAAGCTAGGAGTCACCAAGCAGCCAGGAAGTTAGTTGTATCCACCACTATATGTCATTCAAAATCCATTTTCCACTCTTAAGACAAAGGATTGATTTCTTATATTTCACCTCAATGTGTTTTTTTTCCAAAGAGAAAATCTTAACAATTATCTCAGTTCTCAAATTTATCAAAGCTGTAGCTTTATGTTACTTCCACTTCAGTATTATGTATTTCTGTCTCCCATAAAAGAAATTATAATGCTGCTTCTGTTCACGTTCGGAGGTTTTAGCTTCTTGGGAGACTTTCCCAGGAAATTCAGTTGTAAAATAGTAAAGAAAGGATCAATGTCCTCACCCAGTTCCAAACATGCTTTTTACAATGCTAATTAGTGCTTTTCTTCTTCGGTTGTCAGTAGCTAATGGTTGGCCACAGGAATGTAGCCAGTCTTTCCCCTGCCAGTTTGGAGGGCTTTCCTCAGATCGAACAGAAAGACTGTCATCTCTCCGTGATTGATGAGGCACCCCTCCTTCTTCATCGCCTTTTGGGGCGACTTTTGGGGCCCTTTTAGGGACCCTAGCAGGGTGAAATTGGGTGCAGAAGGCAGAGCCCTGCCTTCCTGCGTCCATCTCGCTGCAATGCAAAACCGGAAGTCAGTAAAAGTAAAAGTTCTAACATTAGGAAGTTTTGGGCTAATTTTGATTCACACGCAAGTCAATTTTCAGACTGAATGAAAATTAAAACAGAAAGTTAGACAAACAGATGGCTTTTTTACCTGCCAAATGCAATAAACAAAAATTGGCTTTATAAGAACATTCAAAGCCAAACACTGAATAGCTGTATTAGCCTTGTTAACAAAGATACTACAAATACAGATGGAAAAGATCCATCACCTTCATTCTCTGGCTTCACAAGATCAAGCATCTGGCAAAGGCAGTCTTCAAATGGCAGAGGTTCAATGGCCATATTATCCAGTTTCTGACACTGTTCTTCATAAAAGTATTGTAGTTCATACATGGACAGTACACCATCACCATCAAGATCCATACACCGAAACCAATACTCAATGCTGAAATGAATTATTAAACAATTTAGCAATCTATTTTATGTTCATTTCTATGTTGTGTTCTGAGGAGCAACACAAAATCCCATTTGTGAATGATTAAGAATTCAAGACATCTATATCCCCATGCTTTTAGATTAGCAACACCAAAATATAATTGTCAGAAACTTCTTATATAGGTTTATTTTTCCTGGACTCCCTTTTGTTCCACATGATTTGGTTATTCTGGGCACTATGCTCTACCCCTGTGCTTATATATGAACTTTTTCTCAGAATATTGAAGAAGCATTTCTCCTACCTCATCCACTTAGATGCCTGCAAAATGAAATAAAACTCCAAAGAATGCTTGGTTCCACAGGTCTTATATGCTCCCTCTTGATGTTTTTCTGCAAAGGCTGGGTAATTAGTATTTTTGTGCATGTGTGTCTTCTGACTAGTCCTTAGTTTTCTTGGCATGGTTTGTTGGAAGTGGTTTGCTACTGCCTACTTCCTAGGACTAAGAAAGAGCGACTGGCCCAGAGTCACCACCTGGCTTTGTGATAATGGCAAAACTAGAACTCATGGTCTCTCAGTTTCTAGCCTGATGATACAATGGCAATTTGGATCAGGACATCACTAAGTAATGTGGTCATAAAGTGGGATGTCACATCCCAATATGTCAGCGATGCCAATCCTGGCAGTCCTGATTGCTGTTGTAACCTCAAAATGTGTCTGTCATTAAGGGAAAATTAAGTGGGAGTTCCTGATAAGAAATATGATGCTCTGGGGGAAGCCCTGGGAAGCCCAATGCAGGGAAGCTGGGGAGGGATGGTATGGCACTGTGAGCACAGGCTGGAGGGACTTATTGGAGTGACTTGTGACCTTCCCTGCTGGCTTTGTCATTGGTTTTGCTTGTAGGACTCCAACAGAGAAGGTCACAAATGATGATCACGTGATTGTGGAGTGTTGCAATCCATTATAAATTCAAGCCAGATGCCAAATCATGAGCATGGGGGCGATATGATGGCTGAAATTTCAAGGACTAGTTGTAAATACCACTTTTTCAGTGCTGTTGCAAGTTTGAATGGTTGCTGAACAAATAGTCAGTAGGAGAAGACTACCTGTACCAAACTGGCTTTCTATGAACTATGTTTCAGTTATAATGAATATATTGTCACATAGTATATTGATGACTTAACTTTGACAGCATCATAATCTTATGAAAAGCATTTTTTTCTTACCTAGTGGCAGTCTTTTTGTCTTCTTCTGATATCAAAAACCACACAAAATCTGCATAACTGATTTTTCCTTCTTTCTGTGCTTTCTTGCCCCTTTGAAATTAAGATTTAAAAAGAGAGGTAAGACAATACATAGGTATAAATACATACAATACATACAGCATCTTAATTTTAGAGTTTCAAATAGCTTCTGCACTTTCCAAATATACTAGAATACAGAGTTCTCTCTCTCTCTCTCTCTGTATATATGTGTGTGTGTGTGTGTGTGTGTGTGTATCTTAAAAAATAATTTGTATCCTGCATTTCTTTCAAGGATAAAAATATATACTGTATAGTGTTTTTTTCTAATTTTATCTGCACATCTACTTTTTGTGTATCATCATAAGTCATTTTTGGCGACTGCTATTTACAGTTAAATAAGCCTCACTTTCCATATTCAGAAACAGATTAAGACTTATTGACCTGGATTAAAAATACTGGCATTAATTTTACTAGTTTTATATTTGATTACAAGCTACCTTGATTGTTCTGTGGACAGATAGTATAAAATGGGCATAAATAATATTGTGTGAAATAAGGTTTCTATAAAACTCAATTGTACTCAATTAGTTTTAATGATCCTGTGATTTTCTACTAGGAAAATATTTTTATTAAAATGTTTTAATTCTTATCACTGCAAAGTATGGAGAAAATGACATAAGAAGCTCTCTCCTTCTGTCAAGAATGCCACTATATTACACAGCTCAAAAGCCAAAGCTTGGACTGAGATTCCAATGCTAATGATATTAACTGATAGCTCAGATTGCAAGCAGGAGCTTGCATTGCTCAATTACAGCATATACACTACTCTGCACTATTAGTGGGAAGGGGTAATTTAAAACAACACGTAGTAAACAACATTTCACTTCCATATATTTTACACATTAGCAATACTAAAAAAATAATTTAAAGTATTTAATAATAATAATAACAACAATAAAATTGGAAGGGACCTTGGAGGTCATCTAGTCCAACCCACTGTACCATTTCAGACAAATGCTGTCCAGTCTCTTCTTAAAAACTTCCAGTGTTGGAGCATTCACAACTTCTGGAGGCATGTTATTCCACTGATTAATTGTTCTAACTGTCAGGAAATTTCTCCTTAGTTCTAGGTTGCTTCTGTCTTTGATTAGTTTCCATCCATTGCTTCTTGTCCTGTCTTCAGGTGCTTTGGAGAATAGCTTGACTCCCTCTTCTTTGTGGATACCCCTGAGATATTGGAACACTGCTATCATGTCACCCTTGTCCTTCTCTTCATTAAACTAGACATACCCAATCCCAGCAACCGTTCCTTAATATGTTTTAGCCTTCAGTCCCTTAATCATCTTTGTTGCTCTGTACTCTTTCTAGAGTCTCAACCTCTTTTTTACATCATGGTGATGAAAACTGGATACAGTATTCCAAGTGTGCTGTTACCAAGGCATTGTAAAGTGGTATTAACACTTCATGTGATCTTAGATTCTATTCCTCTGTGTTGACTTTTTTGGCATCTGCAGCACACTGCTGGCTCATATTTAAGTGATTGTCAACTATGACTCCGAGATCCCTCTCAAGTTACTACTATTGAGCAAGATACCACCTATACTGTAACTGTGTATTTGTTTTTTCTTGTCTAAATGTAGAACCTTACTTTTTTCACCATTGAATTAGATAGCGCTCAATGTTCAAGTCTATCAAGATCTTTCTGTATCTTAAGCCTATCTTCTGGAGTATTGGCTATTCTTGCCAGCTTGGTGTCGTCTGCAAATTTGATGAGTCCCCATCTATCCTCTCATCCAAATCATTGATGAAGATGTTGAAGAGCACTGGGCCCAGAACAGAGCCCTGGGGCATCCCACTACACACTTCCCTCCATGTAGATGCAGTTCCATTGAGGACCACACGCTGAGTATGGCTAGTCAGCCAGCTACGAATCCATTTGGTGGTGATGCTGTCTAACCCACATTTTTCTATCTTATCATGTAGTAGGTTTTATTTATTCTACACAAGTATAACCAGTGGTTTGTGTAGTGGACTTTATAAAAATCGGTTAGCTAACTTGAGAGGCCAGATTTATGTTTATTTGCATTGTTTATACTAAAATGACTTTTTATTAGAGTACTATACAGTTTGCCACATAATTTACATGATAGGAAATATATACTGTATATTTTTTTTAAAAGATACCTTGTTACAGCTCCAGAAAAAATCCTCTCTATCATCCGATTAGATATAGCTGTGAAAAGAGGGGGAAAAGGGAAAATATAACATGTATGTGTCACATGCATATATATAGTCTGTTGGCTCAGCTGGTCCCTCCCCATGTAAAGGGTTCTTGGCTAAGCAAAGCCCTTTGGATATTCTGTGTACAATCAAAACTGCAAATTCTATTTATATTTGCAAATTGCAAACACTAACATAGGCTTAGTGGAGTTTACAACAGAAGAATGAAAACCCCACTCTGTGAAAGAAACTGCCCTTTTCCCCAGTCACTGGTACACTGGCCATTTCTGCTAAAGAACCCATTTCAGCATCTAGTGTTAGCTAGTCTAGAGGTTTAATAGTATAGACATCATAATAACAAAAAACAGAAAAAGCCTTTTTATAGCTCCTCAATGGTTTTCAGGGTGCCTCATCACTGCAAGTGTTTAAACTGACCAAGATTTCAGCATTGGTACTAGCCAAATGGCTACAATACGACAGACAATCTTTTGATAAATAGCATTTGAAAGGGCAAAGCTTAATCTTTGAATCTTGTTAAGAAGAAAGATACACGCATTTATTTTAATTCATTTTTTAAGCATTGTTGCTCTTAAAGAGACACCTAATAAACTACTGGTTTACTCTATCAGTGTGTTGGTGGGAGTGGTCTTGGTGGCTCCTTGATTAGATTGCTGTTTACTGCTACCTTGCTTGTCTGTGTTAATAATTCCTTGATTGGAATATTGTTTACATCTCGATTGTTGGTCTAGTGTTAATTTTGGTATTAATCTCTGCTCATCTGGGTATTGATTGCTGGTGAGTAGGTGTTTATATCTCTTTTGGTTTTTTTAAAATAATATGTAGATGTTGTTTATTTCTATGTGTGTATTGATGACCGATTTATCAGAGTGCCAGATTTCCAGGAATTCTCTAGCATTTTTGAACTTGGCTTGATTTAGGATGCTTACACTATCCCAGTTGAAACTATGATTAAATGTCCATTTGTTGTGAAATTAAGGAGTTTTCATAATAAATTGGTCTTAGCTCCCTTAGGAAATAATGTACAACTGTACTGAGTAAATTTTAATTTCTACTTTTTAGAATACTGCCATCTTCCTGCTACAGGTCCACAAAAAGTAGAAAACTACCAAAACTCAGAGTAATTCTCAACACTAAAAACACCAGAAATGTAAATGTGTTCTGATATCTGAGGTATTTGTTTTTATATATTTTGTAGATGTTTTTATCATTTTGAATTTTTAAAATTGTTGTAGTTGCTTTATAATTTTAGAATTGTAAGCTACCCAGAGTCATTTGATTTCAGTGAACATTCATATAATTTTATTTTGAACTAAGTTGTTCCTTTGGTCTTATCATATCATACCATGGTCGTTATGTCGAACTAAATCCTTTTGGTCGATGTAAAGATCGTGGTCTGTATCTAGCTCCCAAAATTTGCAATAAATTACATAAAAATGTTCGTAAGAAAAGTATTCTGTCAGCTGGTTAATATCTACTTCCTCTTCTAACAATGCCACATTCTATTGAGAGAGAGAAACATTGAGAAAATTAAGGCATTAATCTCACTGATTGGAATAGGTTATAACAGGTTGAAGTTTTCAGTATCTTAACCTCATTGTGAATTTACTCTAGGTAAATAACAGACAATTTATAATATCTAGTTTACATACGTACATCAACAACTGATACATACCCAGTCAAAATAATATAGTCATTCAATATATGACTGAGTATAATATAGAGAAGTAAAATGACTAATAACAAGAAGCAAAATAATAAAATATAATAATGCATACTGCGGTCAGGGAAACTCGAACAACAGAAATCATAAATCAAGATGGACTTATAAAACCTCAAGACAGGTCTTCAAGGTCTTTCAGGAGGTGGGCAGCATTAGAGCCATCATGGGGAACACTGTTCCAAGGAGCAGGTGACAAATGATGGCAAATAAGCTACATCTCCTAGATCCCAACAGATGGCATTGCTTAAGTGATAGGACTTTCACAAAGCACGTGAAACCTATCAGATGGACAGAGGAAACTGGAGAAAGGTAATTCAACGAATAACCAGGCCGTGTCCTGTCCTATGAAGGGTCTTATAACTGATGATCAGCTATCTTAATTAACCTGGAAGCTTACTGCCAACCTGTGCAGTGTTACATTGTCATACAGAGGTTGCCCATAACAACCCATGATATACTCTCACCAGATACTTTTATTTCCTCCCAAAGCTACAGTATGACCACCTTCTCAACAATATTCCCCAGACAGGAAATGCTGGACCTGGTCAGAAATTATATGACGCTATTGGGATCAACAATGTTTTCCTGAGGAAAGTGCAGACCTCCTCCCACTTAAGTGAAGGGAGAATCATGCCTTCACTAAAGAATGAATCTGCTTGTATCCAATCACACATCACTTCCTAGGATGCCTTAACCAACTAGCATCAAAAGTTGAGATAAATTTGATCATTTAATCAATATTGATTAAAATTGGTGGACAAACGTTTAGGTTACTGTTATTAAATTTGCAAAAGTATGACAGAAGCTAATGGCTTCCATTAAGCCAAGTTAAGATCAAGTAAAGCCATCAAGTCAGAAATGTAAAATTTCCTAAGTTCATTTCTAAACAGAAATAAATTACAAAGAAAAAAAAATTATCCACCTGAACAGTTAATCAGTAAAATTTATTTTATTACAAAACTGCATGCTGTACCTGTAAAAAACTGCTTTTTCTGAGTTCATTACAAGTGATTTTTCCTGACCATGACCTGTTTACTGTATAAAATATCCTTTGTATTACCTGCAAGAAAATATAAAGTGCAATTGCTATTATGATGTATATTATTACCCAAGTGCTTAAATATAACAGTAATTTGTGAGCTTATCCATACATATTTTGGGGGTACATATATTTAGAATTTACCAATTAGGAGGACTAAATCAATTCAGTATATTAATATTTGTGTCTTTTTCCAGGTTACCTCCTTTCTATCTGGAATCAAACAAAACATAATTACTCAGTCCTCTGTATATTATTCCAAACTATTTACACAACATAGCAGCATCTATCAAACAATGGCTGTCCTTAAAAATGGAAGACTAAACTGGGTGATGAACTTTTAAGGAAATTAGACTTGTTTAGCCTATGAAGAGAAAGATTAGGGTTGACATATGGCTGTCTTCTGGCAATTGAAGGGTTGTCACAGGGAGGAGACAGTTGACTTATTCTACAAAACACCTGAGAGAGGGCAAGAAGCAATGGGTGGAAGCTTGTTAAAACAAGAGATCCAATCTGGAACTAAGGACAAATTTTCTGACTATAAGAATAACTAATTAATGGAATAGATTGCCTCCTGGAGTTGTGGTCACTCTATCACGGGAGAGCTTCAAGAAAAGACTGGACAGTTTTTTGTCCAGTATGTAATAGGTTTTCTTGCCTTGGTCTAGAAGACCGCTAAAGTCCCTTCCGGCCCTCTGATTCTAAGATCTGGGTTGATCTGGTATATATTTAGATATATCACAGGAAATCCTAGGGCTAGCAATAAAATTGTAAAGTCAACAAGCAACCTCTAAGAATACAATATCAACCACTTCTGCACTGTGCAAGTAAACAGTAAATCATAAAGACTTTGGCGACAAAGAGTAAAAAAACCTCAGCCTGTGTGGAAGGCTGATCCCACATTCATAAAATCAATTGACCTCCCCCCTACTCTATCTATAAGGTAAATTAAAATTCAACTATTAAAACAGTTCCCCCTCCCCACCTCCTTTCTTCAATTTAGCTACTTGGTTTGAGGATGCACTAGCTGACTAATCCATTTTCTGGGCAACAAAAAGGGGAAAGTGTGGTTTGTTTCACCAAGCTGTGTATCTGGTCCAAGTGCTTTTGTGCTTCCCTTTTTTGCTGCTTTTTGAGTATGTTGATCAGTGTACATACTGCTGAAGATTTTACTATCCACATTCAGCAGGAAAAAACAGCCAGAAGAAGAAATTAATTTGAAGATGATGAAGAGTTCCAGCATGGAAATTATGAAGTCATTCTTTTCGGACATTTCTTAAAGTATATGGGAGGGAAAATCTTAAATGGTGGTTACCAACTAAATGCAAGAATAAGCAAGGACAGTTTCTTTGTCCTGTTGAACATTTTCTGTTACTTCTCCCTTATAGCACATCTGTTACTTCTCCCTTACTGTATAGCACATATCAGGAAGAAGCTCACTCCTTCCTGATATTGAACTTGATTGTTCTGTTGAATCTCTACAGATTATGGCAGAAATTACTATGTCATCCTCAGATGACTTATGGCAGCTGAGATAGGAGGGTTTACTGTATTTATGGTGGAATTTTTGTATTTTCCAAGTATTAAAATTGTTAACAGTTTATGAGGCAGTGGATCCCGCCAAAAGGACAGAATGATCTGTGAACTCTACCTCTACCATTAAACGTAATATAGCCGAATATGGAAGGTAAAAGTCATCTTTAATTTAAATGAGACATATTTGTTGTCTCACTTACATATAAATAGGTGTGCACTGTGTACATAATCATAGATCAGACAAGTCAAACTCACGACGTCGCGCAATGTATAGGAGCTTTTTCCCCATTGCCGACAATGGGGTGGATGCGGTTTCCTCATGATGCATCCGGCCTGCAGGCTGGCAGTTTGACACCCTGTCATAGATCAATAGCTATTGCATCTAGATGGTCCACATGAAAAATATTTTCTATACAGAAGATACTTACCGTTGTAATGTACCGAGAATGAAATTCTGATGCTTCTTTTAAGAAGACTAGACTAGGATGACTATTGACCACATCCTAAGTATGAAGGATGAAAGAGGCATCAGTTCAGAATTTTTATGAGCAACTATTTAATGAAACCATTTAATTCTGCCAAATCATAGCGCCATATAGGGGGTACATTTATAACATCATAAGCAAAATATTCAAATTGTTTCAAGATAATTGTTAATTTTCATTTTTAAATAAAAAAAAATAGAACGCATGAAAACAGCTCCTTTTTAATATCAAGAAATGAATCAGGAACATATTAGGTTTGGAAGAGAAGAGAAAGGCAAATCTACAATTTAGCTTAGGAATCAAAAGGCACTGAGAAGAATCAGAAAGCAGTTTAGAGCAGGGGTTCCCAACCCCAAGTCCACGGCCCATTTGGAATTGGGCCGCGGAAGTGGTGGGCAAGTGTGCACGTGCAAAGTTGCATTTGTGAAAGCAGTATGCACGCACAAAACTATCCCCTCTCCTCCCACCTCCATCCACTGAGACGGAAAGGTTGGAGATCACTAGTTTAGAGAACAGAATTCTCTTGTCTTCATATTTCTCTAGTAATCTAATAAGTTTCTATCCACCAACTGGCATATCAAGGGCTTGGTAGATTAAATTTAGCTATTTCTGACTTCTTACATAATAATAAAACATTACTGAGTTCACTGGGAAGATGGGCGATTGGGGGGTATTTCTGTGGTAATAATGAAAAAAAAAAAAGGAATTTACTTGTAAAAATGGAATGAAGTCTTCTTGTACCAGATAATTATATCCAGGACTCTTTAGAAGGTGAACAAACTTGGCAGCAGCATCATGACAGGTCTGTAATATTCTGTAAAGCATAATTTGTCTAATTTATGCAGATATAGAAAATTTATATATCTTATTTTTCAATCTTAATATGTATACACAAGTATGAATAACATTTGTGTTGGGTCACATGGAACACCAGTCTCTTTGAAATAAATAAGGTGTGTGGCCCCTTTGAACGAACACTATGGAAACTTGGGAAGAAGAAAGGTTACTGGATGGATATCTGTTTTCAAATTGACCTTACAAAGTTATTGCAGACTAATGGCTTCCCTTTTTCAGCTTCTGTTTTCATATATATTGATCAACTATGCATAATGTAGGATTCAGCACTGAGATGAAAAAAGAAACATCTCGTATGTATTCCCACTATGGCAAAAGAAGTTGCCTTGGTCATCACCTGAATTTATACACAATTATCTGACCATGCTATATTAAATTATCAGTGTTCATTGTATGTAAAATGGACAGTCCTGATCCTGCACCATGAAGAACACAGGCATGGGTTATTTGAAAGTAAAAGTCTATTAAAGAGAGGAAAAAAACCCTAAAAGGGCAAGCCAAATTCTCTTCTCACCTCAAATTTCAAAGATAATTCGCCTCTTGTTTCTAGTCATTCTTTCTCAAAGTTGCCCTCATCCCCTTTTGAAATTAAGCAAGTTTAAAGAAGAACAAATGTTCAGCCTAGGGCAGTGATGGTGAATCTTTCAAAGACCGAGTGCCCAATCTGCAACCCAAAACCCACTTATGCATCGTCAGGTGCCGGGTAGGTATGGCCCATTGGCTGGGTGTGGCCCATTGGATGGGCGTGGCTGTGGTAGTAACGGCAGACTGGGTGGGACTAAAAAGTTCAATCAATTCCAACTTTGCAAGATCTTTTTTTCCCTGTGAGAAGTAGAAATTGACTCATTGATTGGAGCTTTTTTTTTTTTGCACACGGTGGCAGAGGCCTAAAGCAAAAAGGTTTTATAAAACCCGGCTAAAGGCCTAGGACTGGGGTGACGGCGCGCGTGTCCACAGAGAGAGCTCTGAGTGCCATCTCTGGCACCCGTGCCATAGGTTCACCACCACTGGCCTAGGGGTCAGCAGAATTCTCAATCTCAAATTATTTCAACTATCCTGTAGTGTCATCAGAGAGTTTAGGAACATGGCACACTTAAAGGTGCAGTAAGTTAAATTCAGCAGTGTCTTTCCCTCCCTAAGTCTTTCAAAACAATTTAAATAATCAATTCCAGTAGAACTTAGTCAGATCCAAAATATGTCTTCCTAAGATGGGGGTAGATGAAAATGGTAAAAGCTATTCCTCAACTGTCTTTTTCATTAAAATAATAACCAGATTTCCCTTTAAAAAAATCTTCAAATAATATTTTAAAACAAGTTAAGTGACCTTACAGGAAATGCATACTTACTTTCGCCACATAGCAACAAACTTATGAACTGATACAAATCCTGTGCGCTCTCCTCCAGCACAATAAAATAATGGACCTTTCCAGTAAAGGGGGCAATCACAAGCCTAGAATTAAGAGGTATTGTTAAAAAGCAAAAACTGGCACTTATTCCTGCAGACCTTCAGAGGCTATTAAGTATGGCAAGAGTTTGGTAAAAGAAAGATGATACTGGGAAATGGAATGATGATTCTAATTTCTCTTTATTTTATTGTTTATATCATGTTTCCCCAGGCAAACCTGCATGTCCAAAAAGTGTTGAATGATTAAAAAAATTGTGTCTTCCAGAAGACTAATGAGACGTGCACCATGCACTGAACAAAAGTGCATAAATGGGCATACACCATGCACAATATGAATGTCAGGCTCTTCTCTTTCCCATAGCACTGAAGATGATACATGATAAAAGGGGCGTTGTCTTACCTGAACGCCTTTTCTCAGCACGGAGATGGAGAATCCACCAATGGGTTTAGACTGTGTTCCTGCCAAATCAGATCAAGTCAGCCAAAGTTGCAACGCCTGTCCTGGGCTAGAGTGTTCCAGTCTCGACGCAGGCGAAGCCATGACTGACAGCAAGACGTGTTGGCTCATAAATCTAGCCCTAGGCCTAAATCACCTGCAAGGGCGGGAGTGGATTCTCCATCTCCGTGCTGA